TGATCAAAGTTGTATTATACTATTTTTTTGTTATATAAAGAATGACCAAATATTTTTTTTTTTTTTTATAATAGAATAGCCACAATATGAAATGTTTTTTTTTTTTTTTTACATTTGATTATATTGATAAGTAATAACGGTTCCATGTGTACAAACGAACAAACCCACACCAAAAAAGACAGAAAGAAGACTACAAACACATAACGAGATCATCGAACAAGTTGTTTTAAAAAAAACTTTAATAAAATTTATGAAATAAGAATGACCAAAGTCCTTGAATAGTTGGTGAATTTTGTCGGCTATCGTAATGAAATATTTAAATTACATTGTTATTATGTTTTTGCTATGATTATAATTTTGTCAGTTTTCTCAAAAGATACGTGCCACACAAACATGGAGAAGAAGAAAGCTGTGAAGTACTTCTTGGTAATTTATTTTTTCTTTCTCGTGATTTTTTTAATGTTTGTTTTCAATTTATTCACTAATAAGATCGATGGTGTTCAAAAGGTCGATGCTTTCACTGATTCGGCTTTCAAAGGTAATCCTGCGGCGGTTTGTTTTCTTGACAACGACAACGAGAGAGACAACAAGTGGCTTCAGTCTGTAGCCGCCGAATTCAACGTCACCGAAACTTGCTTTCTTGTTCCAATCACTGGTTTCAAAGCTCGCTTCGGTCTCCGGTGGTTTACTCCACTGGTTGAGGTTTGTTGACTTTGTTTCTTTTGAGTATTTTTACTTCGACTTGTGAAATGTTTTGAGAGAAATTGATCTCGAATTCGCTAGCCCTATAGGTTTCTTTGGACTTACTCCACGTAACTTGCAATTTTTAAGTTTCAAAAAACAAAAAAATACCTTCTATCAATTAGTGAAAAATTTGCATTTTCTTGATTTGGAGAAAAAAATTAGTGAAACCCTTTGATTTTGGTTTATTCAAAATCTTCTATGCAATAAGTAATATTGTGAAGTGTGATAATAATAGCTTATCTTAAAGCTGGTTCATTGATATGTAGGTGGATCTCTGTGGTCATGCAACATTGGCATCAGCACATTGTCTTTTCTCAAATGGTTTGGTTGATTCGGACAAGGTTGAGTTTGTTACAAGATCAGGGATTCTTACAGCCAAACGGGTTTCAGATACTTTGGAGCACAATGATGGTGAAGTAGTGAAAAGAGGAAGTTTCTTGATCGAGTTGGATTTCCCTATGATTCAAACTTGTGATGCAAATCTCAATGATGAATCTTTATCCATGGTCACCAAGGCCTTGAACGGAGTTACCATTGTTGATCTTAAAGCTACTACCACCAAACTCATCCTCGTAATATTTCAGAATCTGTCCACCAACATTTTCAAACAAACTTTGGTTTAATTTGTATCTCAAGATGCTTATCCACACACTGTTTTTATGCTTATATTGAGTCTCTTATGCATTTGGTTTTGCAGGTTGAGCTGCCATCTATGGAATCTGTCGCTGAATTGCAACCAAAAATAGATGATATATTGAAATGCCCGTGCAACGGAATAATTGTGACAGCTGCTGGTTCTGAAGGATCCGCCTATGATTTCTACAGTCGATTTTTCGTTCCTAAATTAGGAGTCAATGAGGTAAATAAAAGAGTAGATTTATCTTACTATCATTATAGTTTTTTACTCTTAGGAGTGAACAAAAATCCGAAGAATATATATGATTTCTTCTTTTTTCAGGACCCTGTTTGTGGAAGTATACATTGTGCATTAGCACATTATTGGAGTCTCAAGATGAACAAGTGTGATTTCTTAGCCTACCAAGTACAAATCTCTCTACTCTCTTTAATTTTTTCCAAGTAGTAGTGTTTTAGTTCTTCTTAGAGAATGACTCTCTTCGTGATTAGGCTTCGCGTAGAAGTGGAACAATTAAGATTCATCTAGACAAGGACAAGCAGCGAGTTCTCCTTAGAGGCGAAGCTGTGACTTTGATGGAAGGCCATATCTTGGTTTGATATGAGATGATACAAAACAAAAAAAATCGGGTTCAGAAGACTATTTTCTTTTTTATTGACACTTTAAAGACACGAACAATATATGTTTTTTTTTTATCAATAAATAAAACGTTGTCGTGAAAAAAAAAATATAAGGAATAACGACGAATTGTATGTGGCTATTATGGTGAAAGAAACCACTTGATTTGTAGGTTAGTTTCACACATAATGTGGCCATTATGGTGAGAGAAACCACTTGTATGATTTGTTTGATTATTATCTCTTTGGGTAAACATTTAGATTTTGTTTGATCTACTAGCAAAACTAATCAATTTTTATCAAAATTTAAATTCAAAATATA